GTACGCAAGAGATCTGTGCTTCAGATACTACATTTTAGCCATCCGAAGCTTACTAATATGCCCTTATCGCAGCTAAGAGGAATTCAAGGGCTTAGACCGAGAAGGTTTTTCCAGCTAGCATCGTGTATTCTGCTGACTTTATGCGAACTTCTGTGGATTAAAACGCAAATAGAAGTTGGTCCATCCACTGGTGAAATAAAAGAGAGTTTCGTAAAGACGAGTTTACCATTTTATGGTAACATTACGCCGAACATCCGACTAAGTCACCTGGAGGACGCAAAGTTTGAAGAAACAACAAGAGAACCTATAGCTTACCTCCAAAAATTTGAGGAACCATTCTTTCTTTCTGTGCCAACATCTTAATGTCTTCCTGCCAGCCAAAATAAATGGACAGTCTGGTTCAGAAAGCGACAAGTTCGAACCCGCAGACGTTCAGAAGCCTCAATAGACACCCTTGTGAATAGCTGTTTCGAAGATAAAGATCCTAATGCTCAAAATCACATGAAACTCAGACAGTCCTTGCGTTAGCTGAGAAATGCATTTGAAGCAGGAAACGTTCCACTCATAATGGCATTTGGTTCAATCCTGGGATCGCCACGATATCATCGAAGGATGTTTTACGACGTTGACTACGACTTCTTTGTGGATGCAGCGGATATGAAGAGTACATTTGGCATTTTGGCCAAACTTTCGGCCAATGCGTCTACTGAGATGCGTTTTATTGGCGCTCGTCGATCCTTTGGGCTACCGAAGCTGGGACTTATGTGTGGAAATGATGGCGGCTGGAAAAAGCGTGAAGATGGTGCATTGAGTTACGTGGTATGTGCCTCAATGGAAGCTACCAGGCAAGTCCTCAAACCCTGTCTTTTCTACGTCGATTTTTATTGGATGAGAAGAGATAGCAAAGGCTCATTAAGTGTCAATTCTCTGAAGACGAAGTTTGCTGTTAAAAATGTTCTGAGTTCGGATTATAGACCAATGGACGGAACGTTGTTTAAATCTGTTGGGAATTTCGACGGATATGCTGAAATTATATATGGCTCACCCATTTACATGTGCGTCCCTAAAAACCGGAACACTAGTCGCAAATCAGGAATTGTCTGTGGTAAGTGGGAAAAAAGTTCTTGACTGTTCAGATTTTGCGCTGCCCTGTGTACATATTGACAAGCGTCATCCACAAACATATACTCTAATGGAAGGCGGAAACAGAATTGAACTTGGATTGCGTTGGCTGGAGTCCGGGGAATGTGTCGCACATTCCCTTTTTGTTAAATTCTGATAAAATACCTTATTTCAAAAGTATTCAAATCCTTTTTGCTTGCCTAAAACATGGAATTTTTTCTAAGTTTCAGCTTTTATGGTCACTTTATCGAACATCTATTCACTTTATAATAAGGCACGGAATGGTTTTTGAAAATGGCCTAGTAGATGTCGTGTTTTAAATTAAGTAAGCAATATAATAGTTTTGTTATTTGGCACTCGTT